GCGTTTAACTCGCTTTGAAAACCTTGGATGGATAGGCTTAGGCTTTTTATATTCATGGGTCTGCTCAAGGGGTGTTATAATATCAGCAGCAGTAGCATACTCTTCAGAGCTACTAGAGAAGTTAACACCACCTGGAAATGGCTGACAAGCCTTTGATCGGCTCTTAGAAAGCCTCTTAACAGACACAGAGACATCAGAATCCAAAACAAATGAAGTATCACTTAAAGGAAGATCACCCCTAGGGACCCTAGACTTCGCGAAGCCTGTATGCATACGTTTTGGAGACATTGAAACTTTTTGACGGGTTCTGGTTTGTCTAGTGACAGGTCTACCCCTTCCCATTGAACCCCTTGCAAACCCTGTTGACTCCCTTGGCATTTTTTTGGTGCAATTACTTTGAGACTTTACCCAAGAGAAGGTGTCTGAGTGTGAATCTGATCCAGAGGCTGGGCCTTCTGTGAATGCATGTCTAATTAGTTCATGTTCACTCAAATAACCATGGCTCTGAGACCTTTTCCTGGGATTTAGAGAGTCAGAATTATTGGGACGCTGCTTAATTGGAGATTGTGAAGGAGTATAAAATTTTGCCCGCTTACTTCCACTATAAGCAGAGGAACTCTCATGGCTTTTAGACCTTCCACCAACAAGTGAATTGTGATGTAAGGGCAAACTAGGTCCAGTAAAAGTCATTTTATCAGGGACTGGTGTAATGCGATTGGTTTGTGTACTACTGTAGAGATGCTGAGGTGTCTTGACATCAACTCGCTCCTCAGTTTTTAGGTCATCAGATAAAGAGAGCCTTTTAAATTTGCGAACCAATGAAGGATCATGATAAATAGGAGGAGATTGGTCCCTGTATTTCAGTTCATACTTGGGCCTTACAGATGGTTGGAAAGAGGACTCTTTTGCTGGTTTTCTATCTACATGCAAATATGGATGCAAAACCTGTCGTTCAGTAGAGAATGCAGTTTCATTAGTGGGAAAAGACTTCTGAAAAGTTGTTTTAGCAGATTTCCCACCATATGCTCCCATCATGGCATTCCTCTCTGAGGAGCCTGGTGAGCATGGTGTTTGGGTGTCAAATACCCCCGTATCTATTACTAGCTTTTTTTTCAACAACAGGCTCCATTTTCTCCTGTTTAATAGTTTTGAACAAGGGATTGAATGATGAATTCTTGGGGGGAGGTCTAGGTGTATCCATATGCATTCTTGGGATTCTAGTCAATTTGAAGGGTGGGGACAGTTTAAAGGGAGATAGTTTCCTCGCTGGAGGTGGTGGTGTAGTTGATGAAAACCCTAATGGTAATGTGTCAGCCTGGGCTAGTTTTAACTCTTGTTCATTAAGATTTTGATGGCCCAAAGCTACCTCAGAATCATCAAACCACTCAGGTATAATAGGCTCAGAAGCAGCTGTATGTGATTTTTTACTTGACAGTGTTTTTGCATTACTTTCTGATTCTGAAGTGGGCAATGGCATGTGTTTTGCCGCATGGTAGGGGTCTGATGTAACAGACATCATGTGTATTTGTGTGAATGTTCAAATAAATTGATGAAACAGTGTTGGTATGTAAGAGACTCAGTATACACAAAATCAATATCCAAAATCAAATATGATAAAATCCACTGCGCGAGTCAATACATAAAGTATCTAGACCCCAGCCGCTGGCACCATCTGTGGCAACCCAGTATAAGGTAGCGTGGTTCCGGGTTACCCAGTAACAAAGATTTGGATCCTTTAATGTTTGATATTGACTGTATGTGTGTGTATTGCGTATATTTTAAAGAGTTTTAGGGAAAATGGTCACAATATCCGATCTGGAATAGTCTTTGAGAGTTAATGGGATTAATAGATAGCTTTTATTGAATTCTAAGGGTAGAGAAGCAGTAGAGATATTGAAGTATAATAATGGATGGGAGTCACATAAAAAAAATGGGTGTTTTAATTCTCAATATGGGGTCTCAACACTATTTCTATTCACACTCACTGTACACAATCACTCAACACAATAGAGAATGTAATGGGAAATTATATAAAATGAATATAATTCAACTCTATTTCTGTTTTTAATACAAAAACACTTGGTAAATATATTATATTTCTACTCTCTAGTTCTGACGTAAGGCTCTGGGGTACATTTCCATCAGTTAAATAAACACGTGCATTTCAGAGTACCTTAAAACTGTAAAAGCTTGAATGCGATAGATATATATGTATATATATTAAATATGTAACTTGTACTGTCAATTCTGCCTGCCAGTGTTTATCACTAATAACACTCCACTATTTAATGACCGGGGCAATCATGGGATTGTCCTACAAAATCTATTTCTGCGAAACAGACAGGGCAACATGTATCATCCAATTTCCATGCATCAATACAATGAGTACAGGCATTTATCTCCTGTTCGGGATAATGATCATGATCTAATGTTTTCAGGAGATATTTACATGTAATACAGATGAAGTGGCCACATGGAAGTTGACTAAGACCAGGGGTTTGATTAGCACAATGAAAACAAAAAGGTGGTCGGATAGTCATTGTGTAGCAAATTGGACAAAAACTTATGAAAGTAATGTAAAACTCCAAATAGAATCTACTCACAGTAATTACAAAAGCACACAAATATAAAGTGCTGTGAGGCTTTAATTTAGCAAATTAATACCTACACTGGCTATGTTCAGTTCCCTGGGACTCAAAAAAGTAGCAGCAAATTAATTGCCTTGCTTACTCAAAATCAAACCCTCCCCGGGGGGATGTTTTGAATAATTAGGTAATGTAGTGAAAATAACAATTGCTAGATTCCCTAAGAATTTCCAATTTAAGTGTAATCAATCTCAAGAAAAGTAAATAAAATATGCCCAGTGAAATCGATTGAGCGCTCAAAAGTCGATTATTGCTGTGAAGCTGTTTGACAACTGAAAAATCGTCACTAGTCCATATCTGATGATACTAACCAGGTGCATCACAAACCCTTCGGAGTATCAGCAAATTTGATGATTGCCTTTGAAAAACTCCAAATCAACTCGTCTCGGGAAATATAAAGAATAGATTGTGTAATAAAACTACATGTATAAGCTGTGGAACGAATAGCCAATGTTGCTCAAAAGTTTGCAGTTTGCAATGTAATTCTCATTCAAAAAGTGAATATGTTAGTGGCACAAATAATTGACACTGGCAAGCAGAAAACACTCCCAAGCTACCTATTATACTGCCCTTTAAATAAGATAAAATCTGAAATACCACGTTGACAACTTGCTTTAAATGTATAATTATTTTCACAAATCAGAAATGCTTTAAATTAAGCCAAAGCAAAATCACAGTCAGCTCTATAGAACTATGAATTTAGAATATAAGTTATCAAAGATACTTGTTTGAAGTGAAAACGAACAGAAATTGACTCACGCGTCAATACAACAGTTCGGAAAATGTCAAAAGTATCTTACATAGATAAGATTAAATCAATTACAAAACAATTCAGCAAATGAAAAGCAAATTGTCAACTTCACGTGTATCTGAAATTCAACTGATGAGTTAAATTGCCATTACCTTGAGCAACTGAGTTTGAAGCCCATCCATTGCTACCCCTATGGTGCGGAAACGATATATCCAGTTATTATATCCAATTATATGCAGTTATATCCAATTATATCCAATTATACAGTTATTCTTCGATCGCTGTCTTTGAAACCCGGAGATTCGGAAAATGCGACTTCTTTACTCGAAAGTAAAAATCAGAACTACCTTAGACAACTTACCGCTGCTTACCCTTTACCTTAAAATTACAAGTCGAGAAAATAGTTCCATGAAAAATCTTAAAAGATCAAGTCTAATGACTTGAATTAAGTGATTATAGAGATTAAAATACACAATATATGTGTAAAAAGTAAAGATTATGAGTAAAAATGTGACCGAAATGAGCCAAGTATGGAACTAACTTCCGGACTTGAATGAACGGGGTAAACCAAAATGGCGACAAGTTTGAAAAATATTTAAAAATTAAAATTTGACAAAGTTCGCTTCAAACTCAGCTGTGATAGCGATATCCATCTAATCAGGTAGGCTTAAAGAGAAACAATATGACGATCTTCCCACACAATTGCCAAAAATATATAATATTAACTGGAAGGTCGTCAAAGTTGTTAGAAACATTTCGAGATTTTCTCTTCTCAAAAATATACCTATTCGCAGATAAAATGAACCAGCACAATCGTGTACTGACGTAAAGAGTCAATCATGCTTCTTGTTTTTAATGATGTTTTCGAAATGACTCACATTGTCGCAAAAATGAGTTGATATCAAAATTTTTTTGAAAATGTGTATAGATCAGATCTGCCTTTCAGTTGAAAAAATCAAAATAATGCACAATATACATAAAAAATAGTTTTTCTCACATATATCCTTTTATTCAACATTAAGGTAATACTTGGGTTCAGGAAATTACGTCCCTCCTAGTGCATAAGGACAACATCGAAGAAGCGACCAAGTCCCCTTTGATCGAACGAGTGCCCTTCCTAGACGCCCTTCCCGTAGAACAGATTAGAAACATTGACAAATTGCCCAATCCTCGGCTGATGAAGACTCATCTTCCTTTGCACATGATACCGGAGAATTTCGGGAAAATCATATATTGTGTCCGGAATCCGAAAGATGTTGTCGTCTCCTATTTTCACTTTCACAGAATGACGGAATGTAAGTGCAGTTTAACAAGAGAGGGGGGGGGGTGACTAATGAGAAATAATATATTTTATCATTTAAATGATGATATTACTAAATTATGAAGATTCAGAATAATAGTCAATCCAAAAAGGTATAAGTGTACTTTTCTAAGTTGGGTTATAGCTATTGGGAACTAACTCTGCAGAGGAGGAGAGGAATGGAGAGGGGTGAAAGAGGCCATTTATAAATTGACTGAAACATTCTATCACACAATTAGACTTACATTATGACTTTTTTGTAGTACTTGGATTTTATACCGGAACATGGGACAATTTTCTCGATATGTTCATGAAAGGAAACATTATCTATGGCAACTACATGGAGCATGTTATGGAGTACTACAATGCAAGTAAAACGAATGACAACATTCTTATCGTTGCATACGAAGATGTGAAGAAACATCCAGAAAAACAAATACGTCGCTTAGCAAAATTTCTTGGTACGCAACTTTCCGATGCTGAGATGGAAGAGATCTTGGGTTATACTACTTTCGAGGTGATGTCCAAAAATCCAAACACAAATCACGAAGGTAGTCCATTCTTTGACTTCACAAGATCTAAATTTATGAGGAAGGGAATCGTCGGTGATTGGAAAAACCATTTTACGGTGGCTCAAAGTGAAATGTTTGACGTTTGGATCGAGGAACACATAAAACAAAGTGATATCAAATTCTGTTACGAGCTCTAGTCTAACAGATAATCAGAAGCGCAATATTTCCTTTTCTGCTTTGTGCCACTCTGATATTGTTTCGTTAATGTGATTTTATTTTCCCTTTTCAAAAATGTTCATCCAGGGCCACTTTTGATCTATCATTTGCTGAAATAGGAACACTGTGACATAGGTAGGTACATAGGGATATTGTAATAGGGACAATGTAAAGGAAATGATAGTACCTGAGAAATACGATTCAAATTTTGTATGAGTGCCTTTCAAGAACCGAATTTATATCACCAATAAACTGAATTCGGTGTGAATGTGAAGTATTTGAATGTCCAGGTCTGTGGCCAGGGGAGGGAGTTTAAATGAGTTTGTACCCAAATTGTCACATTTGATTCCTCTAAAATTTCTTAAAAACGAATCCCCCAGTCTCCGGATGATGTCTTATATATACATATTAAACAGCTGAACTAGTCTGTTTAGATTAAAAATTGATTGTTGAATCAGAAATAAGCCAGCATTTAAATCAAAATGAAAAACATGTTATGTATCATCGTCGTATTTTCATCCTATTAAATAATTATACCAGTATTTTGACACAGTGCATTAAAATGAAAATGTTATTGCCAAAACATTCACCTCCATCTGATTATTAGCCTATAGATATATTGCTGCGGGAGTTTAGAATAAGCTTAGAGTACACACAGGCATACTCTGGAAAAAATTCAGAGTTCAAAACATGAAAATAGAAATCCTGTAATTCAGTTAATTCCGATTAATTTAATGCTATCTATAGTAGTAAGAACTAAGAACATTCTTTGTGTTCAGAATTTTCCATGGGCAAACTTTTGTTTGAAATAGTCGACTTATAGAGTTCCATTTGTTCTCACGTATGAGTTTCATCTCCAGGTTTTAACAAGCAGACACTCGGTCCATTTGCAGTATTTCGTTCAGTGTGATCTGATCGTAGTATCAAGCAAATTTTCATAGATTTCAACTATACGTCTAGATATTTCGCCAGTTTTTACACCAATTACAACCTTCCATCGCTACGTCTTAATTTTGGGCATTTAACGCAGCAGTTTTGAAATCATCCGCATATCTAAAGGGGTTAGGGGAAAGCCCCAGAGCTTTAGCGATGACTGACATAATACGTCTCTTGCGTAGGTACCACCTTCATTTGCGAAAATTACGTTTGAAAAAACGGTGTAGTGTGAGACTCACAAGCCTTATTTTCAAACACCTGGTTGGTTTGTATTCCATTTATTGACACGAATTCGAAAATCACGCCATGTTTTGCATCGGCTAAAAATATTGACAAATGAATAATTACTCTGGTCAGTTAATCATTTGTTCTGTTATTATTCATTTATACGTATATACGGGTTTGCAGTCAGATATACCAAAATACATGTATGATTCATTCTCACGTATTTTACAATTGAGGGCTTAGCCAGTATCTAAAATTAGAGATTGTTATTTGATGGACCACAATCTCCAATTATTTGAACTTTCATTTTTATGTTTTAATTCCGCCATTGTGAAGTCATCATACTACGGATCTATGATAGTGGATATACAAACTGACTGGGCGGTCAAGCCGGTGAAATAATTTTTTCGGTCTTAACAGTTGTTAGGAAACCAGAACGCAGAGGGATCTACAAACTGACTGGGTGGGCAAGCCGGTGAAATTTTTTTTTCGGTCTTAACAGCAGGTGTTAGGAGACCAGAACGCAGAGGGATTTTAATCAAGATAACCCATTCGCTAAGTACTAATGCCTGGTAATTAATCATATACTAATTACATAAACAACTTATTCTTTAAATCACAGACAAGTCAAGATCCTTTTAATTTGTACCAAAAAAGTTGCTTTTGGTTGAGTATACATGACTTGAAGTTGAATTCTTAAATTATGGATTGCTATCTGAGCTTGAGCCTAATGCTAAAAATGAGCTTAATAACTAGCCTCCAAGTTCAACTACACTATTATGTATCGTATCGTTGCTCGTATCGTGACCTCCTGAGTATCGAGATACGTATCGTATCGTTTCATAATAGAGAGGTTTCGCAAAACGTTTTTTAGATCCACGGATCCGTATCCGTAACGTATTTACCAGATTTATGCGTAGTCAGTTCAATTTATACGTGAAATGATACGGAAAACACGAAAAATGAGGCTTTCGTACGTTGGTCATTTACTTATCCGATTTTACCCTTCGATTATATTGTTTTTAGCTCTAAAGGTATCACTATATGAACAAGCACAGTGTGCTGTGTATAATTTGACTAAAATTTGGTGATGAATTTGTTTATTGTTTGAACTAAATCGAGTTTTTCAAATGGTATGTTTAATTCATTTTACACTGTATGGAATGGTATTGCAATAATTACAGTGTACATATTTCGCACAACGTTTTAGCTACCGGTGTCAAAATCCGTAACGCATCAATGGAGTAAAAGTGTACTCAATACGTTTGTGATACCAACAGCAATACCGCAAGTACGTAAACTAACACTTTCTGTGCGTTTTGTCTCCGTATCTATTTTGTCCTTCAAATTTTGATAAAATGTTCCCTAAATGTATAATTTTAGTAACCAACATATGTTATCATGTGTTTCGTGCTAATTTTGATGAAGTAATAGCCTTATCTGCCGATAAATTTGATTATAAGCGAGGGGCCTGCAATTTTTACGAATAAAGCTTTAGGCAATTTTGCTAATAGGCAGATGTAAGGTCTATCGTTTCTCGGGTGAATAGTAATATCGTAGTCAATTTCTCAGGGACATCAAACCAATGGTTAGCAGCTAGGCCACCTGAATATATATTTTGTGCCTTAACTCACGCTCCGAATTTATAAAGAGCATGGTCTTGGGCTTAGTTTGAGTATAGTAGCTTGGTCCTGACTTGACAATGAATGTGATATTGGGTCTAAAGATGACGCCCCGCATCACTCTTGCCCGTATCCAGCTTGTGGCAAGGGGGAGCTTTTTGGCTTAAAACTCCAGAAAAGTGTTCAGTATGATTATGTAACAGGTAGAGTATATTTCTTTGATCCTATTTTCATTTTGTAAAGACAGGCCTGGCATCCAGATCCTTTAACGGATCTTATCTCTTACATATGAGTCACGATGGGGGCCCCAGATGTTCCCAACTCTTGGGTAGTGGTCCATGATGTGTTCTTCATTAGCAGCCTTGTGATAATAGGGAAGGGGGGGGGGTTGTAATTCAAGTACATATTCGGTAGATATTGGATTGTCCCCGATTGTTTTGTGCGATTGTCTCCAGTTGGAATAACTTAGTTGAGTAAATCGGTATCAACGTTTCGTTGTGGTTTTTTGGTTGTGCCTGATTGTGTTTTGATGGGTTGAGTAAATCGATTGAGTATTTGGTTAAGCATGGTTGTGTAATGGTGGGTTAGTGTCAAGTAGGTATAGGTTTTGCCGAATTGTGTTGTGTACGTTTGAGACTCGGTTCTCTTTTGATGGTTGTTAGTCTGGTGATTTAGTATCGGGTTGTGTCCCATTGTGTTATGTTAATCTTATAATGGGTTGTTTTCTCTTGTGAATATGTTATGTTGGTTGGCTAGCTGGTTGTGGCTAGTCGGGTGAGGTATCTTGTTGTGTCTGATTGTGTTGTGTGATTGGTCTTGTCTCCAATTGAGTTAAGTTAGTTGTGTATCTCGGTATTACAATTTTAATGTGTTTTTTGCCTGTGCCTGATTTTGTTTTGATTGTTTTGTTTTGGTTTTTGAAAAATTGTGTTGTGTTACTTGAACAATGGGCTGTGTTTGCTTTTGTTGGTTTACCATTGGGTTGTGCCAAATTGTGTGGTGATAATTACACAGTTCGATGTGGTTTCATGGTTGTTAGTTCAGTTGTGTTTTATTGGTTGTGCCTGATTGTGTTTTTATTGTTTAGTGTTGGATTGTGCACAATTGGTTGCGTTTGTCTTTGTTGTCTTATTATTGGGTTGTGACATATTGTGTTAATCTGACAGTTGGTTGTGTTTTGGTGGTTGTAAGTCAGGTTGCGCTATGCTGGCTTTGGTGCTGGGTTATGCTCTGTTGCGTTCTGTGTATTTTGATACTGGGTTATGTTCTATTGTACTGTTGCATGATTGGTGATCAAGGTTGTGTTTGGTTGTAATAGGTTATATATGTCGAGTTGTGGGCTGTGTCCGATCAGGTTGTGGTGTTGATATTGGGTTAAGAAACAAATGGCCGGTTTAGGGTATTATGCTGTTGGTTTATCAGTTGATTCTGTGTAGACCCCAAATGGGATATAGGGTATTATGATGGAGAGATATTCAACTGGTATGATAGGCGTTAGCTTCGCGTCGTTCTCTGATGAGCTGGTCCCCTGTTGTTCAATGAATTCAAGAAAAACAATGCGAATTTATCTTTTTGCATAATATATTTTTTGTTGATTTCTCATACAAAACATACTTTTATTGCATAAATGATATATTTGTGTCGCTTTCTATGATCAAATATGTTACTTTGCTCCCCTCCTTAGTTTATATGAGGCATGGGTTTTCAACTAAAGCCCATTATGGGGAAAGGGGGTGGCTTATGTGAAAACGTATGGTTTCCGAATGCCTTGGCCTTGCCCAAGTCGCTATTTTTTACTTATTAGATTTTGAATTATTACCAAAATATACAGCTGCAAAAGCATGAAATTAAAGGTCCATGTGCAGTATGGCAAGTAATTTTAGAAATGTTTACGCATTTTGTGGCATAATGCAGTCACTGCACGTCACTTAATGACCACTATTTCAGCCTATCTCTGTTCAAACCCTTAAATATTCCCCCAAAGTATAATTTGACACTGAATTGGTTATTGTAAACCTAGAAATAATATTTTCTGGCCTAAAGGATATTCTTCATTTTGAAATTGATGTCATGAAATTAATAAATGACACCTTAGGAATGAAAGGGTTAATATGTATTTTTGCACTCACCAAAAATACATTTGGAGCTGTGCTTCTGAAAGCTGACACCCCCAATGGTGTTTTGAATGGTATTTGACCCTAGTTTTCACTACTATTAAACACGGATTGAGATGCGTTTATAATTACGTACTTCAAAAAACGAACTGCGAAACGAAAATTATCGAAATACGTATCCGTAAACGTAATGAGATACGGATGCGGATACGTTTTAGCTAATTCGTTTTGCGAAACCTCTCTATTGTATCGTGGGACCCCTAATTCCAAACCCAAACCGAGACCTACAGTATAGCCAGCCGCGGACCGTGAGCTATCCTTGGTAGGAATGATCTTGGAACCTAGCTCAGTTCTTCCTAACCTACGTAGTATGACTATATCAAGGGACTCTGGCGTGAACGCATTGCCCCCCAGATTGTTCCTCAGAATTCCCGCCAATTGATAATTGGGTTGACCATTTTTTGAATAGTACAAATCAGAAAATGTGATCCAGTTAAAAATACCTTTTATAACAATAGTGGTACTTATTGCCTTAATTTCTTCGAATTAATGTGACTTCTCGATTTAGGTGGTCAATTTTGATTAGTCAAGACACGAATCAAAGTTCAGGGTTTGTCAAGGGTTTGGATTGTTGTTGTACTGTTAGCATCAAAACAAGACACCGATGCTGGTGTAATAATGTTATGATTATTCATATTATCAGGTTTATCCATTGAACCCCTATTAATAAGTTTTTTAGAATCAAAATAAATTTTCACGCGTTCTTGTGCTTTATAAGCAGTTATTTTCAAGCGCAAACCATTCTCGTCATTAATCTGTCGAGAACGCAGACAACAGTCATGGTGAGCATAAAGATGACTGTTACCTTGACAACAGCGATTTTGCTTTTTAACATATGCCGAGGGCATCCTGGTGAGTTTGAAATATTTCATTTATTAAGTCAACACATTTCTTAATCATTATTTGTGATGGATATTTATTCACTAAATAGTACATTTCATTTACGAGTGGTACAGGCATTCATAGATAATAGATCAAAAAATGTTTTACTTTTAAATGATATACCCCTCACTCGTTGAAATTCTTACTGGGTTACAACGATAATTTTAAAATACATGTTTTAAATTATAGCTGGCTTTAAACATTAGATGAAATAATTAAATAATTTAATATCCCGTGCAAAGTTTGAAAATATAATAATCATCCGAATGCAAATATTGCTTTTCATGCCTTGAAGAACCATTCAATTGATAAATGGTGGCATACATGGTCAAAATACCAGTACACGGCATAATGCAGTCATAAAATAATAATTCTTGTTCTCTTGAAGATCGTTCACGTTTGATTCGCTTTGGAAGTTCATTGTATTTCCCAGTCTGACTCGATAAAGAAGAATTTAAAATAACCAAGCACAAGCGCCAATGTGAAAAGACTAAAAACTGTAAAGAAACCCAACAAGAAAAACAAACTTTTAGTGTCACACCGGAATAGGCTGACAACGGTAAAGTCAGACACCGTTGTCACAAATGGCGGACATAACCGTCGCTTCAATTCTTCAATCACTTGGTCCTCATTTCATGGCATTTTATCGTCGCTTATTCTGTGCATGGATTAAGTTCTTGTGATAATGTATCATATGAAATCCCATTTTCGATCAAATTGGGTCGTGAATCGCCACAATATAGCGTCTTTGGTATCGTTAATGACATCGGAATCTGTAGGCCTATTTGAGTAATTTAGAAAGACAACGGCATATGGTAATTACAGTGTCCGTTGTCCCGTATCTCATTTGATCGGTTAAATTAAAGACTTTATTTCGATGGTAGAACATTATTATCTGTACATTGAGTATTAAGACACTTTGATTGATTGTTGTTCCAAATGAATTTAGTCTAGGTGCTCTATTAAATATACAGTTCATGAAAATCTAATTGAAGCGACGGTTATGTCCGCCATTTGTGACAACGGTATCTGACATTAACGTTGTCAGGCTATTCCGGGGTGAGTGTAAACCTCTCATAAGAAAGATAGACCATATATATATATCAAAACCATGATCTAACGTGAAAAGAAATAGTGTGTCTAACACCCCCTTCCCCGAAGATCTAATCATTAATATTATGCGATGCACAGACACTCAGATACCGTACCTTTAATGCTTTGTTATTGTGAAATATTCTTGGTTTGCTTTTTAGGAAAATTCGCGTCAAAAAAAGAAACGTCTGTACCTTTACCGGATGGTCTTGAACGTTTACTTAAACGAGCGGCAAGGGAAGAAGGTAAGAAACGATTTGTGTTTCTAAATTATTTCAATTATAGTTATCCGTTACGGTTGTATTTAAAATATCGATTTGAAATTATAATTTAAAAAAACCATACTCAGTACGACGTGATAATTTGCCATGTTGAAGTTGAAGGGTAAGACCTCAAAATGAAGGTGTCACGCGTAACAAATGGCGACTAAGAAACCTACTCCAAATGGCTATCTTCAAAAAAAGCAAACTGATCATTTTCATTTTTGGCTATAGTATTCCCACGATTACAGATAGTTTTAAAATGATACATTATGATACAATTAGTCTGGCAGAAATATAGGGTATTTTGACATTCAATCGTTTTCTTCGGATTACAATGGTTTTATAACGTATCAACATGAACATAGGATTGGGACCTCAAAACCACCATTTCTTATACCCCTGATAAAATATACAGGGCGTACTATAGGACACCCTCATATCTCAGATACTAATGAATATATTACCTTGAAATTTTCAAGAATTAGTTTTAGTATGATGCTTGACATGTATGACAAAAATCAAGAAAAAATCGTAATATAGCTACAGCAACAGTAACAGAACAGTATTTGTTACCATAGAGATGCATTATTTTGCTGATTTTCAACATTTCTTCATATTCTTGATTCTAAAACTAGTATATAGTATTACACTAGTATAGAGGACACTGCATATTTTATATTTAGTAATCGTACATGTATATCAAATGAAATCTAATGAATTTATACAGTTGTGAGGTTGGCATATAGTCTAGACTTTGGCATAATGTCTTAACATTATAACCATTACTTTTCCTCATCTGAGCAATACGACTTTGGTGGTTATGATGTACCAGTATAATATTATATGCTATCAGTTTTATATTTAGTATATGTATGGAATCTAATGTAATCATACAATAGAGAGGTTGGCATAGTCTAGACATTGGCATAATGTCTGAGTATTATAAGCATTATTTTTCCTCATCTTAGCAATCAGACTATGATGGCTACCATGTGCAAGTATAATTTTATATTGAGGTTTTATATTTAGTACATATATCATCATGAAATCTAATTTAATCATACAATTAAGAGGTTGGCATATTCTGGACATTCGAATAATGTCTGAATATTTTAAGCATTCGTTTCCTCATCTGTGCAATTAGACTATGGTGGTTATCATGTGTAAGTACAATTTTATATTCAGCACATGTATCAGCATAAAATCTAATGTAATCAAACAATGGAGAGGTTGGCATAGTCTAGATTTTGGCATAATGTCTAAATTTTATTAGCATTGGCTTTCCTCATCTGAGCAATCAGACTTCTTTGGTGGTCATCTTGCAGAAGTACAATTCTATATGTAAGTTTAATATTTAGAACACGCATCATAATGAAATCTTATGTAATCATACGATAGAGAGGTTAGCAAAGTCTAGATTTTGGCATTATCTCTAAATTTTATAAGCATATTTGACTTTCTTCATCTGAGCGTTGAATTCAATTGGATATTTTCTCTAACAGTGAAATTTAATAGCCATGAAACATTTCAGATTGACAACATAGTGAAACTTTTTGTCAGTGAAAATTTTGGCTTACTTCTTGGGGCCACTTGGCCCCCTCGTATAGCTTCCTGGGGCCCCTGTATAGCTTCTGGGACCACCATATAGCTTTCTGTGCCACTAGGAGCCCCTTTATAGCTTCTAGGGGCTACTGTATAGCTTTTTGGGGACACTGGGGGGCCACCATACAGTTTTCGACATAGACGTGTCGCAAAAAGGTGGCGCATTTGTTTTTTAAGGGTATCGCGTGAATGTAACTTTGATTCCCTGGATTATAAGATAAAATTCTAATTAAAGTTAAATATCATTTTAAAGCTGTTTTGATGAAGTTTTTAGATCAACTACACTCCGTTCACGATTCTTGCGCGTTCTTTTTGAAAAAAGAGTTTTTTACCAAAACATCTGGCAAATATCCCCTGTTGACACGTTACATTTTGAATTATTTTTCGTCTTTAAACGCTCATAACTCAAACAATATATGACTATTACACTTATTTTTCGTCTTGATAAAGGTAGATGGAAGATTTGTTTCAAAGGATGAATTTTGTAAGCGTCCCAAATTGTGACGTCATAGAGTTTGAAAAATAGAATCTGTTGACAGCGACCTTTTTTGCTCATTTTTTGTTACCTTCAACTTTTCAGGTGTACATTAAACAAAAAATACGAGATCTATTTTCAATAAATCATACATGATTATTTTGCTCTTAAACTCTAGTTTATTAATAAATAGTTGATTTTGTTCGCAAAAGTATGTGTTTATTGTTGTATGTGGAAAAGTGGAGGACGAAAGGTTTTCAAAATTCATTAAAATAGGGCTTATTTACGCCATTCGCCTATTTTCAAGCATAGCAACACGTATATTTATTTCACCTAAAATATCAATTGATTCGTGTTTTATGATGCTCCTATCCCATTGTTAATACGTATACGATATCAGAGTTATTCGCCTTATTTTGAGATATAAGAGGCAAATTTGGAGGACAAAAGGATTTCCATATGTGTACATTTTTCTCAAAAAACGTCACATTCTGTGGTGTTAAAAAGCGAAAATGTGTAACAATGCGTGCGCGACCTTTTTGCGACACGTCATAGCTTTTGGGGGATACCGTATAGCTTCTGGGGGCCCCTGTATAGTTTCTTGGGGCCATTGGGGGGCCACCGTACAGCTTCTCGGAGCTACGATATAGCTTCTGGGGACCACTCGAGGCCATCCTATAGCTTCTGGTGGCTACTGGGGGCCACCGTTTAGCTTCTGGGGGCCATTATATAGCTTCTGGGAACCATTTGGGCTCATGTATAGCTTCTGGGGGCCACCTTATAGGAATTGGAAAAGTTATAATATGAAACTTTTTCACGACTTTTTCATTGTTTACTTTACGTTTTTGGGTTTACGTCATTATTAATGCTACGCAATTTATGGTAATCAAATATTAGATAAATTTTAGAAATGCGTTTTCATTTTTCTATTTGTCTTTCAAATTTTAAATTGATTGCTGAAATAGAGGCTTCACATATATGAGACATTGTCACAAGTGCCCAGATTGGGTTAAGAAGTTATGAATTTTGGTTGTAAAACCTATTTATAATATCATAACTTTATCAAACATGTACTTTTACACTTACGTTAACTTTACCTTGTTAGTTATAATTCAATAGTAAATAGGCCCCTGTGGCCCCAATTGGCCTTCAAAAGCAAGGCAGTGGCCCCATATGGCTCAAAAAGCATCCCAGTGGTCATCAATGGCCCCTTAAAGCATCATAGTGGCCCTGTGGTCCCAATAAGCACGTTAATTGCCCCTTATGACCTCCGAAAAACATCCCAGTGCCCCCTGTGGCCCAATATATCATTCTAGTGGCTCCCTGAGGCCCACAAAAGCATCCCAGTGGCCCCAGGATACCCTGTAAAAAGCATCTAAGTGGCCCCAAGATACCTCCAAAAGCTTCATAGTCGTCCCCATTCCCCCCCCCCAAACATCCGAGTGGCTCTCTGTGGCCCCAAAAGTATCCCAATGCCCCCCCCCCATTGACTACTGACATCATCCTAGTGACCCCCAATGGCCCCGAAAAGCATCCTTAAGGCTCCAAGTGGCTTTTAAAAGCATTCCAATGGCCTCCCGTGGACCCAAAAAGCCTTCTAATGGCGCCAAATGGCCCCCACAAGCATTCTAGTGGTCCCCAATGGCCCAAAAAGCATCTTTGTGGCTCCAAATGGCTCAAAAAGCATCGAAGTGCCCCCTAAAGGCTCTTAAAAGCATCTTAGTGACCCCCGAGACCGCCAAAAGCATGCTGATGGCCCCTGAAAGCATCCCATTGGCCCCCAGAGGCCCCATAAAGCATCCTAGTGACACCCGAGGCTGTCAAAAGAATGCTAGTGGCCCCCTGTGACCCACGAAAGCATCCCAGTGGCCCCAGGTGTTTGAGCAAGTCAACCAGATTTCCGTTTTGGATGTTTATATGAACCATTAATGAAGGAATATATGAGAAAAAGTAAGATATCTTCACTGAGAAATACAGAAAAATACTTTTATCTTTAAGAGCATTTGGTATAAAATTTGATACAGTATACTCATTTATCTGACATGACAGCATTATAAATACGACAAAAAGACTTTTCTGCTTTTTTGTTGTTACGAAAGTTATGACGTCGTTCTGAATATGGTTCAAAAATATATTTAACACTTTCATTTTAGTAATGATGAAGAAGAAAAGGCACAGCTAATGCCTAGCTCACATGAGCTTTGATTCATCGGCCGGCGCCCGGCCGTTTGAGTATTTTTCAGAATTGCATTTATTTTAGAACAAAATACTAAACAGGCCAAGCGCCTCCGATGAATCGAATCTTATGTCAGCTAGACATGAGTTAATTTTTAGACAGAATAGTGCTGTTGAATAATTCAAAGGCCAACGCAGATACTTGAATCAATTTTGCCATTTAGTTCCAAAGCATTCACCTGAAAAAAGGGCAGTTTCGGCTGCGTTAGCACTAGCAGATTCAGAGGCGGGCAAAGAGATAGCTAAGGGGCTTGGCCAAGCTGCAGGCGCTATCGTTGGAGAGATAGGAAAACAAGTGTTTGGAGCAGTTGGCCAGGGAAAATCATTTGTGAAGAATGTTGAGGACTACCATAAAGAGGATAAGGTTTCTGATGAGAGAGAAAAGGCCACAGCTATTGCTGGCGGACATCAAAAGGTACGTTAACAAGTGCATTTGGATAATGATTGATTGTAGCATTACTGCTGAAATTTTATTTTTATAATTTGTAAAAAGCATACCTGTCAAGTAAAAAATGAAAATCGGGATATTTTCATTTTAAAAATCGGGGTGAAATCGGGATTTTTAGGATAATCGGGAGAAATTGGGAGTTAACAATGAAATTTTGGAGGAAATCGGGTTTACAAAAATAATCGGTAGAAAATCAGGATTGATAAGGATAATTGAAAGGAATCGGGAGTGTTAAATGAAAATCGGGAGGAAATCGGGGTTTACAAAAATAATCGAGAGAAAATCGGGATTATTAGCCGATAATCGGGAGAAATAAGGAGTTTAAAATGAAAATCAAGAGAAAATCGGGGTTTAAAAAAATAATCGGGATAAAATCGGGATTTGATTGGGATTATCGGAGAAAATCGGGAGTTTACATGAATAAAAATCGTGGGGAAATCGGGGTTAACAAAGCTAAATTGATAAATACGTTTTGCATTTGGGTCGTTAACTATCTTTGTTTATTAATTTATCCATGATATATCATCTGCATAAAGCCAAGTAACACTTTATAATTAATTAATGTAAATACACCCTCAAAACTTGACGTTATGATCTTGCAATTTAACCAAGCTTTAATCATGGTTTTCCGTATTATTCATTTCGACCTCAAAGCACATAACTTGCAGTTGTTAAATATCAGAAATAATTATGTTATCTACATCTAGTCCTCATACATCTAGTCCTTAACATTTTTTATTTTTTAGTGCAATTGTTTTTGCTCCTTTCTACCAATTCTTGAGAATGAAATAAAATGTCTTTCCGAACCTTGTTGGAACAAAACAGCATATACAACATGTTTTTAGACCTCTCAATATTATAGTTATACAAAGGAATTTTTGGTCGATTTTAAAAAAGTATTCAAAAAATTAAAACAAAATCCCCCCAAAATAGATAAAAATCAAGATAAACCTTTTATTTCATTAACAAGATATTTTTCAAAAGCAACCAATATTTCCTTTGTACAATTACAATATTGAGAGACCTAAACATGTTGTGTTTATGTCGTTTTGTTCCAATGAGGTTCGGAAAGATGTTTCTTTTCACTCTGGAAACATGATACCAAGAACAAAACAAGTGTTTGATGTGTTTTCCAAAGCAATATAGATGAAAGTATATATATTTTTTTCAAATTATATTGTTACCATTCAAAAGATGACTATTGAATTGACAATGTGTCAAATATACAGTATACAATTGTTGACCTCTCCAGAGGTCAACCGGCAAAATTGTATACCGAGACTGTAAACCGAGAAACTACTGTTGACAGAGACCGAAGGTCGAGGTCAACAGCAGTTTCAAGGTTTACAGTCGAGTGATATATTTTAGTTAGAATACATTAATTAATATATTCATTCAAACAGCACTAGAATGCGGGAAGAAAGAGCAATGGTGACAAAATGTAGACAGAATTTTCCGTAAGGGTTTCAAACATTTCTGGACACAATCATACATGTATATAGTGTACTGTTATTTTTAGTGCTGTATTTATAGATATAATTTCACGTATTAAAATCATATTTTCCAGCAATGACTTCAAATCCGGAACCACACCCATATCACATTTTCTTCAATAACTCCAAACATGTGTAAACATTGACCATGTGCATATAAATTCAGATTTCACGAGCTCTTTCATATTCGAGTACCTCATACACCCCTGCATGGATTTGAGTTGGATTCGCCTTTTATACGTGAGCCGACACACTCGCAAACGCTGATTGGATAAAGATTGCAAGAATCTTTAAAGCAACCTCCAAACGTTCTTCTTGATTTATGTCAAACTGATGTCATATTTGGAATCTACATGTAAAATTACATTTAGAAATGTGGTTTTGAAGAGTTAATCAACTTTGAAAATTTAATTTTCTTTGAAAATGTGACTCCTAGGTCGGGGAGATTCCCCATAGACCCCATATCGTATATCCATAAAAAGTGAAATATTTTTTCTTGTGTTGGGCAGATAATATTTTCTTTTACTGGACATATTTTAATTTGTATAACTATCAGATGCATAAGGGTAATATGAAAAGTGAACCACTAAAACTGATGCATATTCAAGTTTAAGGGAATTTTGTAATACCCTACCATGTTAATTCCCCCGAATCAGCCACCTGGTGGCGAAACTGGTAACTATCTACTCGCATCTGAGTAATTAGGAAGACCTGTACGAAGCAGTATAGTTATCAAAATTCATATTTGTCATTCTACTGGTCAAAACCCCTTTTGTCGAGACATGTGATTAGTTGAGTCAAAATTAGAGCACCAACTTATATTTTGGTCAAATTCCAATGCTTCAACACACCACACATTATTGTAATTTGATGACCGAAAATCCGGTCTTTAAAATAATGACATTCTCCTCTTCAAGACACAGTGAACTGGAAACGCTCTGGTAGTCTGGACCTGTTTAGGAAATATATAACTTGACTTTCCTTTTCAGGAAGAGAAAGAAAAGATCTATTATATCCCATTGGAATCAAAAGAAGAAGGATTAATTCACATATCAACTTTTTGTTTTTTGTCCATAGTTTTATGTTTAAGCACACATTTACACATAACATCATCTAAAGTAGGCTTAGGTCGTCTAGTTGCACGTTTAGCACCACCAGGAAGGAACGTTTCGATTTGCTTAACAAGTACAACACGTTTTTGAGATATAGATTCGATTCCGAGCTCCTCTCTAATAATCTGAAAATAATGTAACGACCCTTGGGCATGCTCGTCGGAGAGCTGTAGTGTACCGAGCCAGATACTAGACTCGAAAGAGAATGTGCTAAATTCAATGCCCCGTATGGGAATCGAACCCAGGACCTTCCGCTCTCGACGTTCCGTCGTAACTGATTCACAAGGGCAAACCCACTTCTGACACCAATGTAACGACCCTTGGGCACGCTCGTTGGGGAGCTGTAGTGTACCGAGCCAGATATACTAGACTCGAAAGGGAATGTGCTAAATCCAATGTCCCGTTCCGTACGGGAATCGAACCCAGGACCTTCCGCTCTATCCCTGAGCCATAAAGCCTAGCCACTACAGCTGAGACTGTAGTAGCGACTTGCTATCGAAGGTCATTACAATAATATCAAAACAAAATGGTAAGAGCGTTTCTAAAATTGTGTCATAAATCAACAGAGCGTTTCGAGGAAAACAAGCGATTTCTCGAGAACAAGTGATGGCTTTGGACTGGGATTTTAGACAAGTTAGTGATCTCATACCTGCCAACCTACCGTATTTTTACGGGAATCTACCGTAAATTTTTGGTTTTCCGTAAAAAAATGACAAACTACCGTGAGAAAATGCCATTCTTTTCCCGTAAAAACGCCCGTAAAACGTATTTTTTCCGAAATCTACCGTATATTTTTTTCCATGAGAACGGCCGTAAAATCTACCGTAAATTTTTGAAAATCTACCGTATTTCTGCTAAAATCAACAGTATTTTTGTTCAAACTACCGTAAAATCTCCCGTTTTTGTTTGGAAATGCTTAAAATTGAAGTCTGTCTGTACTGTCCCTGTAATATTCCTTTACCAAACCGAATATAAGGTATCGGCAGGATATTGAATCGATTCAAAATTCTAAATCACATTCCCCGTCCGGGAAAGTCCATGAAGTTCGTAAACAGACCGTAGAACGTTGTAGCTACGTTCATTCAGTTCGCACACAGTCTAAAACCGATTCGGCAACGTTTTGCAGAACGCAGTGACAACTGGTTCTGGTGTGATAGCTATTTTTGTTAATTCGTTCATAAGCAGTTTTTAATACGTTCAACTCGTCTTTATTCCATCTGCAGTACGTTGGTATCAAGTTTAGATCGGGTTAAATTGTGCGTTCGTCAGTCTCGTCTACACAACGTATACAAGCAGTTCAATTACGTTCTTAATCAGTTTAAACCAATTGACAATTAGTTGTACCTCATTCTCAATAATCCTAATATGTTACTGAATTATCCACCAAAGGGTGGGTATCGATATGGCGAACTTTTTGAACACACGTTTCTCTTAAACCCAGTCATCAAAAAAAATTTGTTAGTACCTTAGTGTAAATACTCGCATCTGATTGGTCAATTAGCGGTCAACATTTTTAGAAATGGTGGACCTGTTTTTGGAGCTCCGACAAATTTCATCAATGATGTCGTTCTACAGCGAACAATTTAACTAGAAAGCCAAATTATCGTACACATAACTCAAATGGATATATAATTCAACTGAATATACTATATTTTGCTAAATCTAGGACTACTAGCGTCTTATTAGTGAGATATACTTTCAGTCACACTCGGCCAACGCCCTAATTGGAAAGTATCCAACGATAACCTAGTACCAGAAGGAGACATTATACCACATTCATAAATTGTTACCTGGATATCGGATATTGTTCCCACCTTGGAATATACATTTGTACATAATTTACAACTGGATATTGACTGACCTTTATCGATAAATATAAGGTAGGAACACATGTAGATGCAATTCGAATGCCGTTGCTGAAAACGAACGGTCCTGTAACCAGTAATTACAGCAATGGTCTACTTTTCGCTTCTTAATACAGAGACATCTTTTCATCAATAACTTTTGCTATTTGCAATTATGCCACCGCCACCGCCATCGCTAAGCATTAATCCTGACCATGAAATTTCTGAGAGTGAGGAATCATTTGTCTCAGACGATGATAGTGACGCCCCATGTGCAACCCAAACTGAAGAATCAATATTGTCTCAAATCCGTGAATCCTGTACTGGACTTCCAAAACCAGATTTCATGAACAAGATATCAACCATTTTAGATCATGAAGAGATCGAATCAACTAGAGAAGCACTGTATGACTATGCTCGCATTAATCGCCCACACGAAATGCCACCAGGTGGATTAATTAAAAGATCGAGGCGTAACAGGGAACACAAAAGTAAGACAAATAAAAGTCTCGACGACATATACGTTTTATTTAATTTTATTGAGGGTGCTGGAAATGTATCCGAAGTCAAAAATATGTTGAATCCTAAGAAAGACGTTAAACGCAAATCAATGGCAACAAGTATAGCAAACAGCCAGATCAACCCCAGTAACAAAGAAGACTGTACAACATTGGCTCACATTATGGAACTGAAAGTGAACATGCAAAAAGATCTGAGCGAACTCCAAAGTAATGTATCCAAGTTGTTAAAAAATAAAGAAACGGCACTCGCCAAAGAAGTCGATATAAAAACGAAAGAATTAAACAGGATTAAGGACACAAATCAACAAATACGTAATGAACTCAAATTAGCAAAACAAGAAATTAGCACTCTACAAGAGACAGTAAAAGAATTAAAGTTAACATCAGAAAAGTACATTCAAAAACTACACGTGAAATTAGATAGAATTGATATGAAGTTATCCCAGGAGTCACACGTAACAAATAAGCGTCAAAAGTCTCCACGTCGCGATCGAACTCAAAGCGAACCACCGATGAATGAGCTACAAACGTGCTCATCTATGTCCACGCAAACTAGCTCTAACATAACGCAAGAGACCCTTAGAGCACTATCATCAGAATCATCAGCGGAAACGACGACAAATACCTCTACAATTAGCTTATCTACCTCCGTAGCAGCTCAACCATCTACGTCAGCGACCTATGCGACGGTAGCTACACACAGAACAAACATGTGTGCTACAGCCACTGCAGCACCGGGATCTACATCGGGCCCAAAGAGTACGATGACTATCACCATACCAACAACGATCGCGACGAGCTCTACAGTTGTGAGTACGACATCAGTGCCTACTGTATCAGCAACTGCAGAAATTAAAGCCACGCCCCGAACACAGACACCTACGCCGAATGTTAACTCAGCCGACCAACAGAAGGCACACGTCCATAGCTCACAAAATGCTAAGCCATCTGATACTCATCATATACCAGCAAGAATTAGTTCAAGAACCGATAATGGCTCATTCGCCAATTACCCTCCCACTCAGACTCATGTGAAACGGCACTATGTCTCTAATAGCGCCGATGACCATGCTTTTGAGGGAGTACAAGTTACACGTAAAAGATCCAAGCAAATACTATTGTCACACGTAAAATCTATTCCTTATAATTCTTTACGGTCATCCATTTGCAAAGAGCGAGGGAAAGTATCGCAACAGATTTTTGACAGTAAATAATTTTTTTCTAGTAGTTTCTGGCTGTACAAAAATGAATGCATATGAAAGGCCAATGTATAATCTTTAAGAAAAATTCAAAGAATGGTTTCAAGATCAATTGGATTATCTCATAAGCCATGTTTAATCCACCCATCAACAAGCTTTTTTCAAAATACAATCGTCATTTTCACCATCGTCCCTCATTTTTTTTTACAATTTTCATGCAAAGTTACATTGTACTTGAACACATGTTTCATCACTTAAAATATATAAGGAACTCCTCGTGGATTAGGATTATGATAATCCAATATAAGGGGATCCAATGGGGATCTAAAAGCTATGCTTTTAGTACAGCACACTCATATAAGATGTCATTAGTGTGCCATAAAGTTAGTTCAAAATGTTTTCATAAATGAATGGTTTGACTTGTTTGATCCCCTGCTGTTTGATCCCCTGTTTAATCAATGGAGCATAACCGCAGCATTTCCCCAAAAATTCTGAATACCTGTCAAGTTGACTGTTTAATGTTTGAGTGCAGTTAAACCTGTGTGTGTGTGTGTGTGTAAGTTGCTTTGTTTGTTTGTTTATATCCATCTGTACTAGGTGCTTTGATGCCACCTTTGTTTAGTCTCTGGTGCTTGTTTTTCACACTGTGCTATCACTTGTAAGTTTTACACTGATGGTTTGTAGAAGTCTCTTTTTTATTTATAAGTTGCTAAGAAATTCTAAATACCTCTCTTTATGATAATTTCTATGATGCCTTATTATAGCATTTACTTTGAACAGGTTTTCTGTATCTTGTTTATCAGTAATGATTCACGAGGTACAGTGCTATTAAAATCATAAATACAGTACAAGAATTTAGTACATCATACCTTTGCCAATAATTTTAGTAAGACAAATATTTTGATCCAGCTTCTGAAAAAACATTGAACATATTCATGATGATGTTTTATAACACACTTCCTTATTTGAGTTTATCTCCAGATTGATTATTCAAATAATGAAATGAAGGATGATATGCTAAGAATAATTTTTGCATATTCATCAATTCAAGAAATGTTATCCTAAGAAAATGTTATGAGTAACATACACTCTTACCTTAATGTTAACATTAGGGAGATTAAGCTTGCATATAAAATCGAAACGCCAACCTATGACCAATCGCCCATACAAATGCATCGCTAAATATTTTCCATTCACATTTAGGTTGTGAAAAACATTGCAAGCTTAAAGTCCCTATTGAGAGTCTCTGAAAACCACAATCAATACCATTGAGTGTGTGGTGTATACTACCTTTATCATTATTTCTAAGATTTACAATAACATCTTTTTAGCAAAATGTCCGATTTTCTTCCATATTAATGTGAACAAATATAAACAAACATAGAATGATTCTATTGGTTGAGTCAACAATTTTAGTTATTAGGGAGGTTAAGATCGCACTATTTTGATGAACGTACACATGGAATGTGTAAACTTATGGTCCCCTATTCACGGTGTTATAGCATGACGGTTACGTCAAGGCGATTTGCAAAATTTTGCGGTAACGATAACAAAAAATGGCGGATGGGAAAGGCAGCATGTCCTCTTTGTCGCCTGTAGGAAATATTCACAGATAAGATTTCCTTTTAAACTAGTTCCATTCGGTGACGTATATATGGATGGTTATAAAGACTGGGTCAAATCTGCCAGGTGGTCTACAAGAAACAGAATATAATCTGTAAACCTACCGACTGAGATATCAAAGTTTATAATATTTGGTCCATTCTCGTGTTGTCTCAGTACATGAGCCACTCAAAATATTAACTGTAAGTATAAGTAAACTGTGTATAACTACTGCAAATTCAAAATACATTATTATGGCTTGAGTAGAACATAGGTGGTTTCCAATGCTCAATTGGCTTTGTATGATCGTATGTAGGTTACATCTATATACCACAAGGTTTTTAGGCAATGTAGACCATGCCCTAACAACAAAAACAAAAATAAACAAATTACTAAATTTTTGTGTAGTTTTGAATTTCAAACTCGACAGTTTTTCTCTTATTTCATGTTATCCCCGGGCATCAATTTGCAAAGGCTACGTTCAAAATATACATTACTGAAAGTATCACCGAATGCGATTATTACATAAATCGTTCATCCTTTCATTGATACACAGAAATAGAAAATAATGCGCCAACCTTAGTTTTCTCTTCCATCGCGGCCATTTTATTGGATAAATTAGTGAACGTAGCTGTCCAACCTCGTTTTCAGAGGTGGCGTAACCGTCATGCTATAACACCGGCCAAAATGCCCTAATACGTCACTTCCGCTGAATAGAAAAAAGTAGTTTAAAAAATGAATGTAGTCCCAACACAATTGTGATCATGACGAGTCAGTAAGCTAGTATGTAGGTACAGTTGTCATCTTTTTGCAATGACAACATGCCATTTCTTCTGAAAATGCGTTTATTTGGGTTATCTGAAGGAAAATTTCGAGTCAAGTGGCGTATTAATTTTGCCTTGATTTTTGTGAATTTCAATTTCTGTCTGCAGAGAGAGGGGGTAGTGTCACAATTGACCAATTATTTCAAAAAGTAGATGGTTGGCCCCTATTGAGTTTAGTGTCAAGATGTAGCTTAGACATAGCTTTAGAACCTCAGATAGGCCAGTGAGGCCACATAAATCCAAAACTCGAGATAAAAAGTCAGGCGTTTGACCTTTTGCCCATTGACTAGTATGGTGACGTGAATTAGGGCAGTTTGGCCACCGTGCTATTGACTATTTTCACATCACTGGCCTCTTTTTGTTGCCTGATTGATATAATGCCAATTGATGTAATGGTCCCCAGTTAAACCAGTTGAGAGATGGACAACATTACTTGGGGTCATAACAGTACTCGTTCATGTTCAAGTTCTCACACAAGTGTTTTACACAGTCTGTAGCCAGCTTTTACCAAGGGGTAGGAGCAGTTTTACCAAGGGCAAAGCTTTTGCCTAGGGATGAACTTTTTGACAGTTTTGGCTAAAAAATCATGCGAAGTGCTCAGATTGGTGAGAAACTGCATCATTTTGAAAGAATCTCTTGGGGGAGCAGCAGCTCCCTTTATCTCTCCCCTCTACCTGGCTAATTTTCACATTTTTTATATTTCTACTATTCAAATTGACCAATCCCCATTCATGTCATTTTAACAGGTCCCTTCATTACTTTACACCAGTGTTCATTAATCCCTTGTTTTCTAGTCGTATGTGCTTTTATTATTCAGTTTCACTATCTATTGTTTTGCCATGCCAGTTTTACATGTTTGCATGCTGAGTTAGTTTTATGTAATGTTTTTTGTTCCTTAAATGGTTTACACATTCACTCAGTTGAGTGGGGTGTTGCCCCATTACTAGTTAATGTTGCCTAAAGTTTGTGACTGTACATACACAAAGTATTTCAAATATATATTTTAGAAAACATTTTATATTTGATTCCCACCCAAGGGTCTTCCACTCACCCATTGACATAAACAAAACATGAACTCTCATAAAAATGCCAACAAGACTGCAAGGGAAACTTAATCTATGAATTGGACTTTGCCATATCACATGTATTAGTCCCGTGATCAGGGAGGGGGTGGAGGGGGGGTTGAGAGACGACCCTCTCCCCTAGGCACATTTTCTGTCAACATCCTGCAATTTTTCACCACTTTAGTACTTTTCAAGTGATGTTCGGATGATGCTTTCATTTAATTGCTTGCACTGATGGTTTCTCTTGAAAATTCATGCACATAAGGTGATCTAGTATTTCAACACAGGACCCTGAAAGCGCTATTTGAGCTTGAAGTAGAAGTATTCATAGTATTACTGTTTGTATTATTAATCTCTACGATTTTTCAATAGGCTAACTCAGTCAGTGAATGCAGGATTAAAACACAACACACATGAGTAATTCACCCACCTATGCATGTTATTATTGAAAAACATTGCCATCTTTTACATCACTCCTAAATTATTTTTGTAAACATGCATTTTAAGAGGTTCATTTTTTCAAAAAAAACTCAAAAACAAACTTCATGGAGTTCCTTACATATTTTACTTGATGAAACATGTGTTCAAGTACAATGTAACTTTGCATGAAAAATTGTAAAAAAAATGAGGGACGATAGTGAAAATGACGAATGCATTTTGAAAAAGCTTGTTGATGGGTGGATTAAACATGGATTATAAGATAATCCAATTGATCTGGAAACTATTCTTTGAACTTTTCTTGAAGATTATAGATTCGCCTTTCCCAAGCATTTACTTTTTACAGCCAGAAACTACTCACAAAAAAATTATCAACTGTCAAAATTATCAAAAGTCTGTTGCGATACTTTCCCTGCTCCTTTGCGTCTTCTCGTAGCGTCAATGTAACTGGTATGAGGGTAATTGGACGAAGAACGACATCCAATAGTGAAATACTTTCAGTGAGAATCAATGTCGATGCCCGTGACTATGACACGGCTATCGATAGCAATTTCTGGCCACAAAATATTACTTCAAGACCTTGGCTCACTAATAAGCAATATATTAATCACAAAAACGCCAGAGCTAGCACCCTGAACACAAATTGGCATGCTGAATCAGAACTCAGTCTACCCGTGAACAGTGATGATGACGAATACTTTGAGCCACCTAACGCTTATGTTACCTGGGATGATACAGATATTCTTCATCATAGCAAGAACGCCTCCTCACAACAACAATGGTTGTCTTAATTGTAACTTTGTTTATAGCCTGTCTGTATTTACACTTAAGCATGTATATTAACATTATGTGCTGGAATGTGCAAGGTGTCATGTATGGGACTCCATACCTTGTAACCAAATTGCAGTCTCTAGATATCTGTATTCTGACTGAACATTGGCTATATCCTGACAACGTACAATACCTTACATCTATTGATAGCAACTTCGATTGCCATCAAGTTTGCGATAAAGCACTCTGCGTAGATGATATTCCTCGCAAGCGAGGGCAAGGGGGTGTTGCTATTCTGTACCGAAATAAATTTTCT